TACCTGCCATTTCTTTCTTCTCTTCCTATTCTGGTCTTTCCCTCTAGCATCATGTCTGTCTACTTAGGCGGTTTAAATATTTGGGTCAATTTTTAATTATGCCAACTGTGTGAGAATATTGAAGAAATTTCACAAACATATTTCTTTATTATTCTTATTACTTATAATACTTAAGGGCATCTTATTAAATATATGATATAAATTATATTGTTACATAAAAATCATTATTATTCCTCAGTATATGCTTTTATGTAATATGTTGAACAGTATTCATAGTAAATGCTAATTATAACTGACATACATAAACAAAGACACCCCCCACCCAAGAAAACACCACATAGAAATATCCAAAAAGATCTAATCCTGGAATAATCTAGTTGAAAGAAATTATTTCCCTTAAAAAAACGTACCAAGAGGAAATGAATTTTGTCAAATAATGTGGAGAAACAGAAATATAACTTGGGTTTCATACCGACATCCCAGGTATTAAAGTAAACCAAATATCTGAAGGTACAACCACTATAAGAATAGACAGATAACTCTTTTTCTTTTTAGATGGAGTAATTGTCTATAGACTATATAGACCTACAATCAAGATGGAAAAGGCTACTCATAAAAGTTATTCAGGAAATAGCAATCATAAAGCTGAGAGAGAAAAATAATAGCAAACAGATTTTGGGAAAATGTATATACTAAGAGTATGAAGGTGTGTTTTCAATTGAATTGATAATACACATTTATTAGGATTGTTCATATATATATTATTGAACAATATAATATATATTCCAGGATTAGATCTTTTCGGGTATTTCTATGTGCTATTTTCTTAGGTGAGGGTGTCTTTGTAATATATATTTGTGTATAATATATATTATGTATATATAATTACATGTATTTACATTATATATTATATATAATTATATATTACATATAGTTATATTTTATATAATCCTTCAAGTCAATCCTTCAATATACATTACATATAATATACATTATATATGCTATGTAAAATACATATTATATACAGAGTCAGAAATGGCTATCACAGCTAAAGGATAGTAAACATAATAATTGAGCAAATGACCACTTAAAGGTTATTAATAGTTCAAAACAGCTGCATACAGCAAACAATATATATAACGTCCCTGAAAACACAGACTTCAAATGATATAAGAAGCCACAAAAGATCACAGAATCACAGAATAACTAGGTTAGAAAGAACATGAAAGGCCAACCATGCTTCATAAGTATCTAGCATCTTCAAGGAAACACAAAATCATGAAATTAAGAACAATCATATTCAAAAGAAATTTCATTACAATACAAAAGTAATACTTTTAGATAAAGAGAATGATGGAGAAAGTAAGAATAAAAACAAGACCAAAATATACAGTTTCTAGATAGAGTAATAAATACTGTAATACCCATTCACTCAGTCAACAAGTATTCACTGAATATATTTGTGTGCTAAACTGGGGATACAATGGTATACAGAAATGGCTCTGCCATGGAACACACATTCTAGAAGTTACAAGGTCTGTATCAATATGGTTCTCAAATGACCATGCGAATCAAAATTATCAAGGCTGTGAACAAATGTGATCCCAAAAGAACCAATCCTTCAAGATGGATCCCAAGTGGCTAACTAGGTTTACATTCAAATTGAGTAAAGTAGCCATTTGCTGACTAGAAGTCATACATGTTACTCTGAGTTCCCTGAAAATTCACACCTCCATTTAACTTTGGGACTTCAGGAACCCACCTGAACCCACCAATCAGAACTCACCTACCCTGTCCAATCAGGGCCCAGTTATATCCAACCAATCAGAACTTGGTTGTGTTGACCAATCAGAGCTAAGCAAGTTTGAATCCTTTATTTCCATAAATGGACCTGACTGGAAACGTAGTGCAAAATCTTTCACTATAAAATCAGAGCCCATTGCTTAAGTCAAGGATTTCTAGGCCACAATAACCTATGATCACATCATAGCACTCTAGTCAGGGTGACATCTGAATGAGACCCTGTCTCAAAATAAATTAAAAATCAAAATTAAATGAAATTCCTTTTCAGAGAACTTTTGTTCACAAGGCACAGGTTCAAAATTCAGATGTTGAAGCCCCATTCTCAGAAATTCTCATTCAACAGGTCTTGTATGGAACCTAAGAGTCTGCTTTTAGTCAATTGCGATGGTCTGAGGTTCTTAGCTCTGCTTTTAATTAGCTATGCAGTTTTGGACACAAGTCACTTAACTTTATGTGTAAGATGGGAATAATTATCTTGTTTATAAGATTTATTCTAAAATATAAACATATATTTAAATATATTTTAATTTCTTTGATGTCTGAGACTACTAATAGATTTTGAAGTGCCCACAGTACCTGACATAGGTATATTCAAAATGGCAACTGTGAAATAATGATAGCATGCCAGAAATACTTTAAAAAAAAAAATCTGGATTCACATTTAACTTGGATGCTTACCAAATATATAACACTGGAAAAGTCATTTAATCTCTGTGAGCTTCAATTTCTATTTATGTAAAGTGTAGGTAATAATATTTCCACTGTTTATTGCAAAGAGATATTGAAAGAACAAAAGTTAAGACTTTTCTGGTAAACTATAAAAATTACTATATAAAAGTAATAATACATAAATAAAACATAAAGATCATGATCACAGCAAAATATGCAAAATATACTTCTAAAAAATGAAAGGCTTTTTGGGAAAAAAACTGAAAAGCAACTTTTCTACCTTATTTTTCCAACTAAATTTATTTATTTATTTATTCAAGAGTTTGTTGTATACCAATTGTGTACTACCTAGAAAACAGTAACTCCACAAATGCACCTCAGGAACGCAGACTCATAATTAGCATCACAAATCTTAGCACCACTTTGAGACGTGCACAAAGACAAGTTAGATATAGTTTCCCAACTAAACACTAGCTGGAAATATGAACAAAAGTATAGAAAACCCTCAGTCACCAAGTCAAACCACCTCTTCAACGCTTACATCTCTTTCTGTAACAATCCTAGCAGGTAGTCATTTAATTCCACTGGTTAGCAATCCACCAATTCAAAGAGAATCATCTGGAAAGCTTTCGAAAGCATGAATTCTGTAAGTCTGATTCAGAAAGTCTGAGACAGAACCCCAGGACCTGTTTTTGTAGTATGTTTCCCAGATGACTGTGAAGGGCCACTAGAATCAAGTTGTGATGCTATATTCAACCAGTCCATTCTATTTTGGGGCACTGCAACCAAACTCTAGATATATTAGGTTGAAATCTTCCCCACTTCAGTTTCCAACTAAACCCTAGTTTTACTCTTGGGATTACATACAACACCACAAACCCAATCTGTCTATAGGCCAAACAGCCCCAGCTCCTTCAACTTACATAGGTATGTTTCAAACCTGATCACCCTAAATTTGTGCACATTTTTTATTCATATACGGTGCCCAGAAGAGAACATAATCCTCATGTAGAACACAATGGGGATACTCTCTCCTTCACTGGAGTTACAATATTTTTATTAGCACGGCTTGTGTACCTTTTTTTTCAGTTGAAATGTGTGCCTTTTTCTAAACTGTGTCCACATCATATTATGTTTACTTTTAAAAACTCACTTATTTTGAAATATTTTTAGATTTACACAAAAGTTACGACGATAGTACAAAGAACTCCCTCATCCCCCTGCTGACCCAATTTCAGTTTCCCTAACCTTATCATCTTAGAATATAGCAGTGCATTTACCAAAACCAAACATAAGCCTACTGTTTCACTAAAAACTTTTTATCTTTTAATACAGATTACTTCCCTGAGCTACATTTCCTTCATCCCAAATACAGACTTTTGGCTTTTCTTTAGTTTAAGTACATGAGGCAAATATAGAAATTTACAGTTAATACTGTAAGATTCAAATCCTGAATTTTACATGACGAAATCTTCCTCTGACTCTTACAAGAGGAAATCTAAGGTCCTATATGTGTTAAAATTTTGAGTTCCTATACTTGTTAAGATATTCTGAGTCAAGGTCCAGTTGAACATACCCACTCTTGACATTAGATTTATGTCATATACATATTTAGTCAGCAAAACTTCCATTATTTCATTTAATTCAATAGGCTGAGGCTTGGGGGAAGGTAAACTTCTCTAGAGTTGCATTAATTAACCTCTGATGTATACTATCACTATTATAAATCCAATCAGTTAACAGTACATCCAATTATTTAATATGTTTACACAAAAATATTCTTGCCTCAGGTAAGTTCAGATCCATTGTATCTCCACACTTTCCCTTGTTTATTCGTCTTATATATATTTGCATACTATGCTTCTTCAGCTGAAAGTTGTTGGGTACCTACACAATGAAAAGAATCCATTCCCTCAAATGGCTCTGAAATGCTTAGGCAAAAAGGGAACTCTCTAAACTAACAGCTAGTGGCAATTCACTGAAGCAGTTAATGACCATGTGTGAAAACTGGTGCTCATAGGAAAACCATAGAGAAATTCCTGAGTCACAAGCTAGAATCAGAAGAAATAGCAGGGTGGTATTGGTAGTGTTATTTCTTTAGGAAGAAAAGAGAATTCAATTTATCCTCTTGAAATTAGTTACTAGCTTTAATTATTATAAAGTTTAGGGAACAAAATTGCATAAGATGACAATTTACTATTGAAATCCAGATTTAAAAGGATAATTTAGACATGTCGACCTAAAGATAGCTATAGTCAGCTGTATCAATCACTGCCAGAAGATTTTTCTAAATAGTTTACTTCTCCTCAAAAGATGTGACTAATTTCGATTCTGTTTATCTCTCAAATCCAGGCTGTGGAATTAGAGCTCTGCAATTGTGAAATAGAACTGACAATGCTTTCAAAAAGGTTGCAAACTCACAGCCTTCCTATCAGACCAGCAAGCTTCTTTAAAATGGGAAAGCCATAAAAATAATAGAAATCTTTAAAATGTATCAGAAAGTCAAAAACAAAGCTCTTCAAACTTACCTCATAATAACTCCGAACTGCGTTGCAAAATGCTTCATCAGCTACAATTTGGGTTTCCCCATTGAGGAAGGCCTGGAACCGTTCTTTCAGTAACTGCAATTGTTGTTTGTTAAGCTACAAGAAAAAGAGAAAATAAGCAGATAAATTGGCCAGTACATGAAAAAATAATGACTATTAAAAATCATATTTGCTGTATGTATATTAGATTTCACACCTAAAATTAACTTTATAGTAAAGAAAAGTAAAAGCTAAAATATCCTACTACTTGTACTAATGGTTAGACTTTATTTGAGATGGAGTCAAGCTCTGTCATCCAGGCTGGAGTGCAGTGGTGAAATCTTGGCTCACTGCAGCCCCCACCTCCTGGGTTCAAGCAATTCTCCTGACTCAGCCTCCTGAGTAGCTGGGATTATGATGCCCGCCATCATGCCTTGCTACTTTTTGTATTTTTAGTAGAGATGTTGGTCAGACTGGTCTCAAACTCCTAACCTCAAATGATCCGCCTGCCTTGGCCTCCCAATGTGCTGGGATTACAGGCAAGAGCCACTGCACCCAGACACTAATGGTTAGACTTTAAAACATTTCCAAGTCATTTCATGTACTCCGTAATCCTGATATGGAAGTGGAATCCAAATTTCTACCCCAAATTTCCAGAATTCTCATGATTGCCATCCCAGTTTCTTTATAAAGACAGAGAAAATCTAAAATTTGGATAAGAAATTAACTAGTAGTTAATATTAATAATATTATACAAAATTTCCAGCTGTTCTAAATAGAGAAAGTAGAGAAGAGCTTAGAGATGAGGGAGGGATGCTTTGGACAAGAGGTAATAGGAAGAAAGACTAAAAAGACAGAATGGACCCTAAGAAAGATCCCTCTGGAAAGAACAACCATTGCAGGCGAAAATTTGGATGTCATGAACAAACATACATCAACAACTGAGTTTAGATAAATGAAGGAATAATAAGGAGAAGACGAAGAAGACAAAGCCAAAAGAGAACAGAGAGGCAGCAGGTAGACAGTGAAAGCATCTTTGAGCACATAGGAGAAAATGCTCTGAACTGGGGAAGTTTACAACCAGGGGTCCTTACCCTGGGTATAGCTTCCATAATTATTACAGAGGGTGAATTAGACATGAAATGTGACTATCAATCATGTCCTCTAGTCATCAACTACAAGCAGGGTGAGCTACTTAATTTGTAGGGCCCAGTGCAAAATAAAAATAAGGAGCTTTTTAGTAAAAATATTATTAAGAATTTCAAGACAGCAGGAACAGAGAGCACTAAGCCGAGTGCAGAGAGCCCTTCTAGGCACCAAGCCCTGCACACACAGGGGCATGTACTTCACTAGAAATAAAGCATCTTAGATCTTAGGTAATGCAGAACCTTTTTTTTATGCTTAGCTGGAGAGAAAACAACATAGTCTTAGAGATAAAACAACAAATTCCAAAATATACATGAAACAGCAAAGGAATGATCCTTCCATTTCATTAGCTTCTGATCAGACTTTATTAACAAACTCATTCCAGTTCTAGAACCTACAGAGGGATGTGAAGCATCTGGAAATATGCTGAGGATAAAATGATTAAAGGATTAGGTAGACTAAACTGGTATGACTTGGCTTCAAAAAGAAGGCTGATGTGAAGTAAGTATAAATCTGTTCAAAAGGCTTATTAAACTGCGATTCAAATATAAGGAAGACAAGCTCTTTCAAAAAATCTGTTTTATTTAGGACTCAAACAAGACAGTTTGTAAACAAACTGTAACTGGGAGTAACAGAATTTAAAAAAATTAAAAAGTGTCCTATTGTACCCAGGGGAAAAAGAACCTTTTGCCCTGCACAGTGAAGAAAGAAGACCATTCCATTTCTTTACTAAGGTTATCTCCTTCATTTTAGAGGAAGCTTAACCAAGCTGAGGTGCAGGAACATCATCATTACATTACAATATCCATTTCTATAATGGTAAGAAAATGGAAGCAGGGACCTTTTGTATGTGTGCGTACTAGCAACGCAAGTTAAGTTCATGACTTTAGCTCTCTAAGCATGATTCACAAAAGGGACCAAATGGAAATGGGACGGCAATTGCTGAGAGTGAGGCAGCTGAGAGCACTATAGTTACTAAGCTCTGGGAATGCCAAGAAGAGCTTCTCCTTGCAAGCCAAGTGAAATAATGGCAATGGAAATGTATGCAAAGAATGACAATGAACTGAAGAAGACCTTACTGATCACTTGTGCCAACTCCTTTGCTTGATAAATAAAACACATACTCTTAAAAAACTAGAACCTGTGTATTTTTTCATTTAATTTTATTTTATCAAAGACTTTTTTTTTCTTTAAAAACTCTTCTAAACTACCATATTTGCAATTTCTACATCATTAGCATTTAAGTTCCGCTATTATAACAATAAGTTACTCTTTGGTAATTACGGTGTAGAAAATTCATGGATATGAATCAAGGAAAGGAGGTTTGAGCAAATCATCTTCTTGGAAGCTCCAACAAAGTTGATACAGTTCACGAAATATGCCAGAGGCACCTGGCTAAATGTCAGGCTTCAACATTTTTATGAATAGAAGATACTGCAGTTACATTTAAGACATAAAATGGATCAAATATGACAATTACATACAAAAAGCAAATAAATGGACACTTTATTAGCATAAAGAGGAAGTCTACATTTTCACATAGGCAAGATAGGGGCAGGAAAAGAAAACTAAACTTAAAATCTGTCACTGAGGATAGCTGTCAGAAAGCAGTTTCCTAAAAGCTATTTGTATTATCAAGATAAACCATACTGTATACCAAGAGATGGACCAGTGGAACAGATCGAATAAACAGACCGAAACACAATCAGAAATGTACTATAAAACACCTATATAGCAACTCAAATCAGTAGTAGTTGATGGTCTACTCAATGAATGGTGTTAAAATAATATAAAAGATTTTCCACCTCATGTCATCAGGGAAATGTAAATTAAAATAAAGAGATTTACTACAAACCCATTAGAATGAACAAAATCCAGAACACAGAAAACACTTGATGCGGGCAAGGATATAGACCACAGGAACTCTCATTCTTTACTACTGGGAAAGCAAAATGGTATAGCTACTTCGCAAAACAGGTTGATGGTTTCTTACAAACTAATACACTTCTATCATATGATCTAGTAATCACAGTCCTTGGTACTTATCCAAAAGAGCTGGAAATTTATGTCCACACAAACACCTGTACACAAATGTTTAAAGTAGCTTTTTGCATAATTGCCAAAACTTCAGTAGATGAATGGATAAACTCGGGTACATCCAAACAATGGAATATTATTTAGCAAGTAATGAAATAAGCTATCAAGCCATGGAAAGACACGAAGGAACCTTAAATGCATATTTCTACGTAAAAGCAGCCAATGTAAAAGGCTGCATACTGTACGACTCTAACTATATGACATTCTGGACAAGGCAAAACTATGGAGACAGTAAAAAGATCAGTTGTTGATAACAGTGTAGGCTTTGCATGGGTGGGGGCAGGATATATATGGGAAATTTCTGTACCATCCACTCAAGCTCAATTTTGTTGTGAAGCTAAAACTTCTTTAAAAAATTCTATTTAAAATATTGAAATGTCATAAATTTATTTGCATTAAAAATAAACTTTACATGGCAAAAAATACCATAAGCAAAATAGGAAAAGATTAACTAGAAAAAAAAAAATACTTGCAACTCATTACCCAAAGAGTTCATTTCTAAGCATATACAGAGTTCCGATAAGAACATCACAAATAAACCAACAGAAAAATGGACAAAATTGATATGTTCAGATAAAAAACTCTTAATCCATGAAAACAAGCCTATATTTACAAAAAGAGTACAAATTAAAACTGTATGAGAAGCCATTTTAAAAGTACATGTCCTTGGAATCAGCAATTCCACTTTGGGATTGGATCAATACTACAGATACACCTGCACACGTGCAAAATGACATGTGTACAAGGTTATTTACCACATAATTCTTAATAGCAAAAACATGGAAAACCACCTAAATATGCATATATAGGAGACTAAATTATGCCATATCTAAACAGTGGTATACTATTCATTGCATTGAAAGAATGTAAACGTTCTCTATGTACTGATTTTAAATATTTTAAAAATATCTTGGGGCAGAAAGCAAGTTATAGAACAGCAGTTAAAATAAGTCACCACTCACATAGCAAATGGGCAAATAACATGGATGTGAATTTGCTTCCATATACAGACAGAAACTAGGGAAGAAGGATGACTGTGGGAACTGGACAGACAGAAAATAAAGGTGAAAGAGATTTTTCAACATGTAGCACTTTATTCATTTTGAATTTTCAAGTGAAATAACCCTTTATAAATTCTAATTAATTTAGATTTAAAATAAGCTATAACAGCAGTTTTGTACATCTTGAAACTCAAAACAGTTATGAAGCACTGTGAACAGCTTAAATCCTATCCTACATGGAGACTGGACAACACACAAATTTTTTAAATTCTCCTTTCAGGTAAAAATTTTACTTTGACTTTGTGTCTATTTTTTTAAATATTACAGTCTTGAGGATTTCAAAAAAGCTTAGACCAAGATTGTCAGAAAATAACCACAGTAATTATCCTATTCAACATTCTAATCAATGCATTAATCTGTACAATATCTACAAAAGTAGACTTTCAGATTCCAGTTGGGCCTATTAATATACACACACATACATACATCCTTTTATTACCTCAGTGAATCCGATTCTAATTTGGGACAATTATAAAAATGGAAATCAGTGTCCCTATGACTTCCACACAACTCTATACTACACACTATCTAAGACAAAACAAAGTGTTACTTTCATTCTTTAATATAGTATTTCAAGACTTTGGGGAAAAAAATGATTATTTATGAGTTTTCTCTTTTCTGGAATAAATTTTGTCAGTTCGCTCCAATATCCTGGGTACTCTCCTAAGGATACATTCCAATTTGCCATAAAAATCATCATGTTAAATAAAACTAAGTATGAAGGATACTTGGATGCAATGGATCTTAAGTTCTGAGTTTACAGATGTGCAGAGTTGCTATTACAGCTTTTTAAAAAATCTAAACAAGCTGGGT